AGGGGCATCCCCACACTGGGGAGAAGGTTGTGGGCATGGTCTCTGACCAAAACATCGAAGCCCGTCTCATCCGCCCGACCCCTGAGCGCGAAGAAACCGACATGGACCCCAGGGTCCAACATGGCAGGCTCGGCGTGGCCCGACATGAACCGCAACTTCTCCTCCAGTCGGTTCGTCCTGATCTGCATGGTAGCCCCAATGATTGGCGCGACCTGACGAAGATCTGCGAACCGGTAGCCGACCGCCTCGAGCTTGTCCACGGCCCGGTTGCTCTCCAACTTCCGAACCAGGATCATCAACGAGCCGTGCGATTGGTGCGTCTTGTAAGCCATCCCCTTTTCTGCCATATCTTCTTGTGCCTCCTTTGCCTTCATATCTGAGTTGCTGCTCCCGCTCCTCTCGCTTTCTGACTCTTCGGCCGAGGAACGAATCGGTGCTCCACCAGTGGCAAACATGTCGTTCCAGAGAGTGCCGACGTCCACAAGCCTCTCGCGCATCTTGTTGGCCAGGGAAGCGGCTGCGACGCAAAACAGCTCGCGAAAAATGGTGTCGTAATTTTCAACAATACGGCCCTCCTCGTCCACGAGATTGACCCCCGTCCGTACGTTGCGTCCGTGGTGCGGGAGATGAGAGAGATGAGCCATCATCTTTTCGGTCAGACTCGCGATGCTAGACCAGTTGCGTGATGCCTGGAAGACCCAGTGGAATAGGGGGTGGCCAGTGGAGAAAACGTCATGCTGGGACTGTGGCGTTTGTTAGCCTGTGCTAGGGGTAGCCCTGATCTGCACAACGTACTCTCTGGATGAAGGTGCTCATGACCTCCTCGCTGGGGAGAAGACCATCCGGAGTCACCAGAATCCTCCCATATCTGTCGAAGACGGCGGCCGCCAACGTCACTCTCTGTGCCTTGCTAGTATATCCTTTTCGGGTTCGAGCCGAGGAGATGGCCAAGATCGCCATGAGGATGCAAGCGGCGACAGACTGCACACCTCCTGTTAGCATGTAGACTCTTCAATGCATGGTGGCAAGTGGGGGGGGGGGGGGGGGGGGTCGCCTTACCAGACACGAGACCACGATGACGGTAGTGTTGCGCAGATCGTGGTCTTCCACGCGGGTGATCTCGACCAACCGGTACTTTGTTCCCAAGGCAGCACACCAATGCATGCCCGAGACAGCGCCAGCGAGCAGAAAAGCACAGCCTATTCTCCTCCACCACGAGTTGGTCCATGCCGCCTTGAAGACGAAGAACAGGGCGAGGGCGACGGTGCTGGCGGCGGCCGCAATCACAGATGCACCGGCGATGTTGGCCACCACGTACTCGCAGTGGTAGTTGCGGATCGATGCGTTTCCCAGGTAGTGCATGCCGCAGATGGCGCAGCCCGACAGCGTTCCGGAAACGCCAATGCGCCACCAGCTAACGGTGTTGTAGGAGGTGACGACGTAGAAGGCCACCAGCAACACGAAGATGGGCACGAAAAAGGAGGCGATCGTGACACCGACCGAGTACGCGATCTGGAGCTCGGGTTCGCCGTTCAACAGGCCTGTCGCGCGGTTGCCGATGAAGTGCATGCACCAGATGGCGACACCGCCCATCGACATGGCAGCGCCAAGCAGCAAAAGGTGGTTGTAGATGCCCTTACGTGACGTCCGCCGGTTCACGAGCTCGAGGGTCGAGGCGGCACCGACAAGACTGACGATGTAGCTGACGACGAGAATGGCGGGATCGAAGTGGAAGGGGACGACCTGTCCCACCCACCGAGACAGGTCGTCGCGGGGTAGGACGTCCATGGTTCCAATACCAGCTCCTCCTCCCATACCGGAGGGAATGGAATTGACGATGCTCGCAACGCCCGGGGTGGTGTTCTTGGAGGGAAAACGACGATATGTAGTGTGGGCGCGGATATCGTGACCCCTGGGCCCTTTTGGGGGAGCCTGCTCGGGAGACGGGGGGCAGCACCCGAGCCCACCTCACGTTGACGGGACGCCCGCGTGGCCAGGAACCAGGATGGTGGCAGAAGTGATGCAGAGCCAGACCGACCTCTGTCGTGACGCCAAGTGCCGCATGGATGCCCGCAGCACAGGGCGACGGGACCAATCGCAAAAGGACCAAGTCGCCGCCATGCAAAATAGAAGGCAGGAATGGCCCAGAATTACCGGGAGAAGGCGCGGGAAATGAACAGCGGTTCGTGCCCAAATTCCGGAGGCCCGCTCCTTCCTTCCCCCTTGCATGGCCATCATCATGGCATCGCAGTTGCCGCATTCGCTTCGGTCGATGATAGAATTTCTGTGTTCTTCCATGCCGCTTCCCTCGCTGTGTGTTGCACAGTCAGACTTTGCCCTAGCTCTGCGTCTGGTCGGCGAGTAGCGAGGGCGCGGGGCCAATCGCAACCCTTTAGCTCACCCTCCCATCTTGTCGCTTCTGTCGTCTTCGGCTGTTTTTACGTCTTTGTTGCGCGAGGGGTAAGTGGCCAAAGTGCCGGCGCAAGCCCATTGGCCCACCGCGACGGCCAGCTCACCGGCTCCATTACCCAAAGGGAAAGCGCGGTTCAGCGCATTTTCGCGCTAAAATTGGCGAACAGGGTCCTGTTGGGGTCCTGAGCCGGGGCGCGGATTCTTGGCAGCGCCGATCTTCGCGATCTTTCCGTGCTTCTCCACGCTCATTGCTTCTGCTGCTTTTCCCTTTTTGACCTGACGCGATCGAGAAGGTGGACTCGATCGAAACATCCCTGAGGCAAGGCTCCATTGGCCATGGTCATCGCGAGGCTCGAGCGGATTTTGGACTGGTCTGGCTCGTCTGGCTCTGGCTGCTCCCCTGCTATCAGCGGGCACGCAATCAGGCTCACGATCGGTCCTAATCTGAAACGACCGGAGAAGCTGCCTCGAGCTGACTGGCAGGGATTGGCCAGATCCACCCCACGCGTGGAACCGCGACACGTGCAAATCCCCCTCAGCTTCCTTTTGCCCTGTTGAGTGGGGACACAAAGACACGCTGCTTTCACACCTGCTCCATCAATCCAGGCACCGTGCCATGCTTGGCTTTTATCGGGCAAGCATATGCGGTTGAGGCTGGGATTACAAACAATTTTACAAAAATTCCACCCCCAGCATCAACTCTAACAATGGCCATGATGATGCTGCTGGCTGGAGCGTTGACCCATCAAAGCTTCCCATCTCTGACACCGACAGAGTTCTTTCCCTCACGTCTCACTCCAGATAACGTACACAGTCTCCTCTCCCAGCCCCGATGACCGCGTCGTCCCGACTCACTCCGCGAATCCTGCTCCTCAAGCGGACAGACGGCACCGCATGATCGGGGTAGTCGCCACCCTCACGTTGCCAAAAAAAAAACCCATCTCGGTCCCCCCGGCATGTTTATCGCTCACTGCGCTCGAGCCCCCGCGACTAGCAGGGACCCCCCGGCGCAAAGAAGTAGATATGCCAGGTTCTTGTCCGCCGCATCGAGTTGAATTGTATCTTCAGCTGTCGAAGTACTAGCATCCGCGTGACAGCGGAGGCCGCGGCAACAACGAAATCTGCCAGGGCATCTGTCTCGGCATACAGGTAAGGCATGTCCGGCTGAACGTACAACTCTCCACTCGGCGTTATCAAGAGGAGGGTTAGGCTGCAGTCTTCAAGGGACCGCCAAGAGCCGAACTGGTCCGGTGATCCACTTGCTAGACAGACTATGACCGTCTAAGCAGAGGTATTTCAGAGACGGAAGCTGAGAATGGCGGCGCACGGCCTCGCTGAGCTCGTCCTTGGCGTCGATGGCGAAATGAGCTTCGTTGGGGCGATTCCAGGGCCCGCAACTGAGAAACTGACTCGACTCGATCCCGAGTTGCAAGTACTCAAGGCGAGGGACATTGTGGGCCAACATGGCCACCATCCCAGCTAGGGTAGACCCCAAGTGACACTGGGGGAGTAGCAGCTCCTCAGGATACATCATCACCGTCCATATCAACTCTTCAAGATCTGGCAAACTCCTGCATATCTGGGAAAGGGCATGAGGGTGAATACGCAACCCCACCTCGCACCAATGGGAGACCATCACATGTGTCCAGGGCAGTCTTGCTGAGCATAATCCAACCAGGACTGTCCATGGGGTAACATGGAACCCTGGGCCTCAACATAGTCCACCAATTTGGTAGGATCCAAAGACCGAAGCGGCTGACGCCCAATGAGTGTGCCGCCGCCAACACGGACAATGATCCGGCCAGGGTGTTGGTAAACGCGATGTTGTCGTCTTCCGCGTCACGAAAAAGGGCGTATTGGTTTCTATCCAAGCCATCAAAGCATGAGGCAACATGGCACATCCACAGTGACTTGCTACATCTCGGCGGAAGAGGAAGTTGTAGGTTCAATGTGAGGTTGCGAAGAGTTCTACGGCGGTGGCCTTGTCCCAGAATTCGTTCTCGAAGCAGGTAGTCAAAATCGGCGTCAGCCACAGTCAGCCGAACATTGCGAAACGGGTAGCGCTCGATCGAGCGTTGCCATTTTTTCGAGATTGCCGCATACGAGGCAAGCGGTTCGTGAGTTGGGATTGACGGTAGATATTGGCATCCGTGTTCCTGGAGCGGTGTCTGGCAGTCAAACAGGAAGTAGCAGATCATGTCGATGATTTCTTGCGGTAGCTTGTCCATGGTGCGTTGCAGTGCACGTTGCGGTGAGTATGGTTGTCATGTCTTTTCACCTGCTCTTCGTCAAGAAGGGGGGCGGAAATCCGCAGTAAATACTACGTCTTCTACAAAGAGATACTGTCTGATGTCATGTCTTGGTCAAGTGGTGGGGGACCAAGGGAATAGTTGGAGTATTCTAGAAACAAAACCCCATGTTCATATCATTCGACTGAAGTCCGGCCTCAAAATGAGAGGAGCTGGCGGCCAGTCAGGATGACACAAGAAGTCCTCGAGGTCTCTGTCCCAAACAAAAACATCTACAGCATCCCATGATCTACGAGAAACACAGACAAAAAAGGAAACTTCAGGTTCTGACGGGAATTGAGCCCGACGTGGGGGTCAAACCCACAACCTTAAGATACACCGTCTCACGCTCTACCGATTGAGCTAGCCGGGCGACCTTGTTGATGGAAATGCCACCAAGATTTGCAGTTCAAAAGCCTTGTGTTCGGAATCGTGGTCCCACTCTGCTTGAGTCAGAGGAGGGCCGAGCCCCTGAGGTCTTTGTTAAGCGGGCAGACGGATCCCTGCTGGATACGTATCAGATGTGGGGATTTGATGAAGAGGCTTCAAATGTTTTGCATCGCCTCCGGGAGGCGAATTTGCAAAGGCATTTCGCAGTAGAAGCAGCTGACAACCTAGGTACCGTTCGAAAGAATCCCGACCGAGGCAGATGTGATGATTCAGTGGGTAGCGGGGGAGGAGGCGAGGGAGGCAAAAAAAAACAAAAAAAAAGATCCGGATGTCCAATGATGTCAACCTTGCGAAACTTGATGGAACGTCCAAAGCGCCAGCTCAAGTATTGACGTCATGTCCCCCGAAAGCGAAGTGACCGGACGGGCTGTCCGTCAGTGCCAGTGTTGCTGCTAGATTTTCTTCTAGAAGTGGATAGCGGCAACACGTGCTTCCGCTTTTAGAGTAGGAGAGGGATTTGAGACTTGGTGCAAGCCAGGGGGTAGATCCCCTTGCAAAGCCGTTGGCAAGCAAAAGCAGTCAGGGGTGGTCGTTTTGGGCGGTATGCGAGTCCTTGTCACTGTCGACGAGTGCAAAATGAGAAATCTGTATCTGCTTGTTCTTGATCTCGGCAACGAAAAATCCAAAAGGGATTATTAATTACACGGCCTCGCGTCTCAGACCGGCGTAATGAACGTTGATCTGCTCCAGCGTTGCAAGGCATAGCAGTGTGATGATAACAGGCCATCGCGCTCCCATCCTCCAACCACCAATGATAACGCCAGCCCGTGAGTCTTCGGTGTGCCTGTCCTAGCTATACATGATCCTTCCACCAAACGGGATTGCGTCCTGTTGGCGAAGCATCCCGCCCCTCCATGAAACTTGCCTCCCATCGCGGGCCGCGGCATGGTAGCGACAGCGGATTTACACACCCAAAAGGAGACGATGCCGACAGGCCAGGGACGCGCATCTCTATCAATAATAATGTGACAGGCACTTTGATACGCAGTTGGGCAGTCACATTGCAACGCTGCGCCCCTCAAGTCTGGTTTCTGGTAACCGCATTGACCCCGCCGGCCTCATCCCGTAAGCACCGTTGCCAAATACGGCCCGACAGCAGGGGTTGCGAGCACTTCATTGGTATCGGCAGTTATCTTGTCCAGGGAACTTGATAGAGGATTCCGCTCGAGCGGTCGGGATGCGGCACAGCAATGGCAACATAGGTACAGTATGGGAGGCAACGTCGAAAGGGGAAATGAGGTGAGGAATGAATTAGGCAACATGCCACCGACGTGGTGAAAGGGATCTCTTTGACACCAGACCTCTGGTGACTTCCCACCACAGCTCCTGTCTGTGCAATTAGGCCCTGTTTTTTGTTTTTTTTTCGTAAAGAGCCTGATAGATATCGCGAGGCTTTTACAGCATTTTAAAATACCTTCGAAGCATCTAACGCGGCTTGGGTGGGAGGTTTACAGTGCGTGGGAGGAAAAGAGATTTCTTCCACCACGTGCCACCGTCCTAGACATCAAGTGAGGCCGTAGAGGGTATAAGAAACTCGCTCGTGGCAATCAGGTCGCCACTTGAATCCGGTTAACTTGTCTCAATTGTTCTGCTCGAAACAGCTTGATCTCAAACCAACGCGTTCAACATCAGCCTCTATTCACTTCCAACCTTCCATTTCCAACATGGGTGTCGTCTGCCCCTGGCTTCGACGAGAGCCCCGGCTCCTCCTTTCTCCCAAGGCACAAGAAGCCCGAGCCAGTCGCCTCGGTCCACGCCCGTGAATACGATGACCTCCCTGGCCAGATGAACGTTAAGCCCGAGTCCCAGGCCGGTAGGATCCACACTTCTGGAGAGTCAGGCTGTGTCTAACTGCCATGCTACTTCATAGGGCGGTAATCACTAGGCCGGGTCTATTACTGCGATGCATGACAAGCTTTGGAGAGAGGAAACCAACCGAAAACACGGGAAGCCAGGACATGAACAAGCTTAACAACAACATAACAGTTAGGGACAATGTTGCATAAACAAGAGTCGAGCTCCTCCCTAAGATAACAGTGTTGATGATAAGTGATATTATTAGCCCATTCGATTCCTATCTCAATCCAGGATGCTCATCAATCCAAACGAACCAATCAACCAGCAAAGTTGCCGACGACAATGCTCCAAATCATTGATGCTCATGCCTCCAAACAAATCCCATCCCATCCCAACGCCCATCTATTCATAGCTCCCGTGCATCCCATCACATCACAACACACTCCCGTCCATGGTATTATCCTCCTCTACAATAAACTCTCCCCCTTCCCCTTCCCCTTTCTTCCCCTCCCATCCAAATGCATAGCCAAATCCAAATCTAACTACCAGCAACCCCCAAACCCCCCCAGCGACCAAGACTAACATGCTACACATGCGATACACACGGCAGACATCCCTGTCGAAAAAAACCCGACTTTCTACAACAACACCGGCCGCAGCATCGCTGTGACACATGTTAGCCGCCACCGGTTCCCCTAAAAGCGAGAAGAAGAAGACGCTGTTTCTTCCCTCAGGCCAGACTCACCAGTGCTGAAATCCATCTTCTCAATCTTATTCATCTCAAACCCCGTCTCGAGCGTCCGGCGACGATGCCTCTGCAGCTCGCCGCTCGCCTCACCGCCCACGCGGATGGGCATCTTGGGCATCTTGTTCTTGCTCGCGTGCGCGAGTGCTTGCTTGCGCGCCGCCTCTTCGACAGGGGGAATGATACTACCGAGGATGTTCCCAAGGATGCCGACGTTCTCGTTATCGCGCGGCACGATGTGGCCGAGGCCGTGGTCGTACATCATGGCCGATTTCTGGTCGCAGACGTTGAAGAGGGCAACCGCCGAGCTGAGGAAGGCGTCGTCGCACCCGAAGATGTGGAAGGTCGGAATGTCAATGACCGGCTCCGTGATCTCGTCGGCGAGCTGCGCAGTGATGCGCTTGTCGCCCTCCATCTTGAGTGGGGGAGCCCCAGAGATGAAGATGGCGAACTTGATGCGGCGCGGGATGCCGGTGCGCTTCTCGCGAAGCCCCTCCTCGACGACCAAGCTGGCGCCGACCATGGCGCCCTCTGAGTAGCCAATGATGGCGTCGATCTCGGGGTCCTCATCGATGGTCTGGAAGACGCTCTCGAGGGCGTCGCGCCAGGCGCGTTGATGCCACTCCTCGCCCTCGGAGCCGTTCTGAAACATGCGCATCGTGTCTTCGGGGTTCATGCCGTGGGGTACGTGGCGGAGACGACGGAGGGTCTCGAACGTGTCGCCGCGGCGGGTGTCGAGGAAGCGGTACAGGGGACGGGCGCCGAAGTAATCCTCCCAGCCGGTAGGGGGATCCACCTCGTGGATGCCCTGGCTGTAGGTAAACTCAGCGACACCGCGCTTGCTCAACTCTTCGGCAAGGGGGCCGAGCTGGACGGCGAAGTTCTATGTCCTAGTTAGAAGCCGATGGGTAGAAGGGAAAGGGGGATGTGACAAACCTTGGCGCTGCCATAGGCACCGGGGAGGCAGAGGAACTTCATGTTGATGTTGGGAAGGGTTGTGTTGTGGTGGTAACGAATGTAATTATCTCTGTGAAGAGATAGAAGAGACTGTAGATGGTCGAGAGGTTGCTGTCACGATGCCGTGGGAAGTAAGAGTGTGTGGTGTGAGTGTAAGATGCTGATCTTTGATGCTGATGAGGAAATTGTTTCCTTCTCAAGACGTGCCGTCGGTATGTATACTCGCGGACACACGATCTGTTCGCCATAGTTACGTACTCGGCAACATCATCCCGCCCTCTCACCCAACCTCGCATGGCTAGAGCTGCATGGGAGTTGGTAGCGCCAGGGGGGATTGCGTGTCTGTGCGGTCTGGATAGCGTATCGGGGAGGCCACGGCAACCATCGATGGACGATATCGGCTTTTCGCACAGATACCGTCTTCAACGGGTGCCGGTGCCCTGGGATTGCTCAAGCCGAACTCCAACAGCTTTTTCTGCAGCCCGATGCTAATTTTGGCGCCTAGTTCCACTGTTGTGCTTTGGAGCGTTGGGACACAACGCGCTCCTGCGCGCCTGTGCGTTGCCCAGCAGCGTGTTTTGCAGCTCTAGGTCGAACTCAAGACCATGTGGCGCTTACCAAAGGCAAAACGGCAGAATTGGCCCATACTTTGCACCAGGCGGAGGAACCTTCACATGTGAAGGGCGGACCGTCCTCAAAGTTCGCTCGACTCAGCCCCTGGCCTGCTCGGCTCCAGCTGTCACTCAAGGGGAACAACACTTATCGACGGCTGGCATCGGCTGACCGATGCAGCAGGGCAGCAAAGGTTGAGCAGGATTCTTTTCCTGGGGGTGCTGAGATGACTGTTCATCCAGCGAGCGCACCCAACAACGTAGACCGCACGTCACCGTGCTTCTGCTGCTTAACATGGCGATATGCGCCACCCCAGAATGCATATTCAGCATCTTGCATGCGGAAAGAAGCAATGGTGGGCTCGAGTGCTTCTGCGGTTGGATTTAGGTGAGCGGGATCGTTGCGTGGTTTGCTTGGCAGGGGCCGACCAAACGCCCACTCGCGCTCAAGCTTCTAAACTCCAACGGAAGTCGAGATAGATGTTTCACTGGCACTTGCCATGGCCTCCCACGGTTTGACTCGCCAAGCCAAGTGCGGTTCTGCAAACCAGGGGCGCCAGCCTAGGACGAAGGTTCGTCGCCACCCCATTTTTGGCTAACCGCCCCCCCCTTAGACCGAAATTTGCATCCCTCGAGCGCCGACGCTAGCGGCACGGTTTCTGCCCTCTAGCCGGAACCGTCGTTCCTGTGCGAAGGGGCGGGGGTGGGCGTAGGCTGTTGCTCGAGCAGCTTTGCTCACGGAATCACCAGCCAGGCCTAGGAAGGGGCGTGCAAGGGAACGGAACGGGGGAGGCGCGCAAAGCTTACTCCCAC